CCCCCCCCCCCACACACACACACACACACACACACAGTGTACCCTAAGGAACATGGTCAAATACCTTCTCCAAGTCCACAAAACACATCAAGACTGGATGGGAACACTCCCATGACCCCTTAAGGACCCTAGTGAGGGTAAAGAGCTAATCCAGTGTTTCACAGCCAGGACAGAACCCACAAAGTTCCTCCTGGATCTGAAGTTTGACTAAAGATCAGACTCACTTCTCCAGTACCCCTGAATAGACCTTACCAGGGAGGCTAAGAAGAATGATGCCCCTATAATTGGAGCACAACTTCCAGTCCCACTTATTGAAGAGGGGAACCACCACCCCAGTCTACTAATCCAGTGGCACTGCCCCCGATGTCAATGCAACGTTACAGAGGCGTGTCAACCAATACAGCCCCACAACATCCAGAGCCTTAAGGAAATCATGGTGAATCTGATCCACTCCCAGAGCCTTGCCGCTGTGGAACTTTTTAACTACCTCAGCAACTTCAGCTACAGTTATGGACAAACCAACCTCAAAGTCCCCTGACTCAGCTTCCTCAATGGAAGAAGTGCTAGTAGGATTGAGAATATCTGAAAAGTATTACTTCTGCCTCCAAATGACATCACTGGTTGAGGTCAACTTCACTGAACACAGTATTAGTAATGTACTGCTTTCCCCTCCTCAGCCATCTGACGGTTTGCCAGAATCTCCTCAGAGCTGACCAAGAGTCTCTATCCAAGGTCTCACCAAACTCCTCCCACATCCGCACTTTGGCCTCATCAACAGCCAAGGCTGCAGAACGTTTAGCCCTCCTGTACTCCTCAGCTGCCTCCAGAGTCCCACCAGCCAACAAGGCCCGATAGGACGCCTTCTTTAGCTTGACAGCCTTCCTAACCTGGGGTGTCCCCCACCGAGAACAATGATGGCCACCACAAGAAGCACCAACAACCTTGCGGCCAGAGCTCAAGGTAACCACTTCAACAACTGAATCACGGAACATGGCCTGCTCAGTCTCGATGTCCCCTGCCTCAGCTGGGATGCAGTTAAAGCTCTGCTGGAGGTGTGAGTTGAAGATCTCTCTGAAGGTTTCTTCTGCCAGGTGTTCCCAGCAAACCCTTACTACACATTGAGGTCTACCGGGCCTGTCCAGTATCTTCCCTCATCATCTGATCCAACTCACTACCTGGTGGTGATAGGTTGACAGCTCAGCTCCTCTATTCACCCACGTGTCCAAAACTAATGGCCGCAAATCAGATGACATGACTACAAAGTCAATCATCGATCTACGACCTAGGGCGTCCTGGTGCCAAGTGCACTTATGGACACCCATATTTTTGAACATGGTGTTTGGGATGAACAAACTATGACTAGCACAGAAGTCCAACAACATAATACCACAGTTCAGATAAGAGAAACTGTTCCTCCCAGTCACACCCCTCCAGGTCACACTGTCATTACCCTCATGAGCATTGAAGTCTCCCAGCAGAATAAAGGAGTCCCTAGTTGGCGCACCTTCCAGCACCCTTGTCAAGGTCTCCAAGAAGGCCAGATACTCCAAACTGCCATTCGGTGCATAGGCACAAACCACAGTCAGAGCTCATCCCCCCACCCAAGGGGCAAGGAAGCCACCCTCTCCTCTACCGAGGAAAACTCGAACACACAGGCACCAAGTTGTGGGGCTACAAGTAGACCCACACCAGTTTGGCTCCTCTCACCATGGGCAACTCCAGAGTGGAATAAGGTCCAGCCCCTCTCAAGGAGATTGGTTTCAGAGCCCATACTGTGCATCGAGGTGAGCTCAACTATATCTAGTTGGTACCTGTCAACCTCATGCACAAGTTCAGACTCCTTCCCCGCCAGAGTGGTTACGTTCCATGTTCCAAGAGCAGCTTTGCTAATCCAGGGTAAGAGTGCCTAGGCTCCTGCCTTCAGCCACTGCCCATAGCATCATGCCCCCAACTTTTATGGCCCCACCTGAAGGTGGTGGGTCCACAGGAAGGCAAATCCATGCTGATCCTTCAGGCTGAGTCCGAGTGGGCCCTATGGGTAGAGACCATGTCACCAGGCACTCACCATTCAGCACCTCCCCAAGGCCTTGCTCCATGGTGGGGCCCCGGTAACCCACATCTGGGCAAGGGACACTGAGTTCCTTGATTTGTGTTCTCCATTCAAAGTCTTCTGAACTGCTCTTTGTCTGGCCTGTCACCTAGAACCAATCTGCCCTGGAAAACCCTACCAGGGGCAAATATAATTGCCCCAAGACAGCATAGCTCCTAGGATCTTTCAGGCACACAAAGTTCTCCACCACAATAAGGTGGCACTTCAAGAAGTAGAATAATAATATTAATATATTATTGTTATATAATAATAATAATAATAATAATAATAATAATAGTAATAATAATAATAATAATAATAATGATAATAATAATAATAATTTATCTAAAAAAGTTAAGTCTGGTCCTCTGCTGTTCAGTGTCAGGAGGACTGTGGTCTTACATCGGGGAAACTAAATAGCCACTGGCCAAAAGGATGGCCCAGCACAGAAGAGCAACATCATCAGGCCAGGACTCTGCGGTCTACACTCATCTCCAGGTCAGAGGTCACTCTTTCAGGGATGAAGATGTTCACATCCTGGACAGAGAGGAACGATGGTTTGAGAGAGGAGTAAAGGAGGCCATCTTTGTGAAAAGAAACCGTCCATCATTAAACAGGGGTGGAGCCTCCGGGTTCATCTGTCCCCCTCTTACAATGCTGTGATTGCTAGTATCACTCAGCCCTCTGTGAACAGTAAACAGCCATCAGGTACTAATGATCCATTGTTAGGCTGATGGTCCTTCTTGAGCATGTGATCAGCTGGTTCTGGTTGTCAGCAGCAAACTGGTTGATCCACTCTGAGAAGGCGCTATTTAAGAGACTGAGCTGAATACAGCTCCTCAGACTGAGGAAGTCTCTCGGATGAGAGACGAAACGTTTCTATGTTTTTTTTGTTTGTTTGTTTTTTTGTTTTGTTTTTGAATGTCCAGAGGACCAGATTTTTTTAGATTTTTCTACCTGGATTATTGAGCATGCATCAGGAAATAAAAATAATTGCTATTATTATTATTATTATTATTATTATTATTATTATAACAATTAAAAAAAAAATAACTGGAGCTGAATGCTTTTTAGTCTCTGTTTTTATTTGTTGCCTTTTCATAAATACAGTAAAAAAAAAAAAAGACAAAGAAAGATTTAAAAAGCTGTGTTTTAGTGAAACGTGTCACAAACCCTTTCAGACTTACGGAGTGCATGCCACTCGTCCTGTCGAATAGTCTTTGTGATGTTGACGGGTAAATTTCGTGGTAGGACGGATGAGGAATAGTGATACTTGACAGGGGTACACCTTTGAATTATTCCTGGAGAAGACAAAATGGCAAGAATTAAAGTTAGAACCAGAGGAAGAAGGTTATCAAAAATATAAAGTGGCAAAAATGGAAGTTTTGGTTTTCTTCTGGGACCATAGAGAAATGACAGCAAGCTTCTTATTTGCTTTCCACCTTCACAAATGTTATTTTTCAAGCTGGCCTTCGTAAACTTGTTCATTTTGCTCCAATGCAGGTTGGATTAATTAAATGGGGATTAAGAAAGAACACCACTGAATGCCTCAGAATTAATGTTACAATCTAAAGTGAATTTTTCTGCTTTGCCTTTTGAAACCCAACTCTTGACTCCAGCTACAATTCGTTCGGTCATCTTCTGACAGTTTTGTTCAAGACTTCAGCTCTGTTACATTTTTGGTTTATTTAAAGCCTTTTTTTTTTCTTGGTTGAATTTTCTAAGCTTTAAAACTATATGTATTTGTTTATGACATTCAGCAGTAACCTTTATATCTAAAAAAGTTAAGACAGGTCATCTGGACACGGAAGAGCTGACAGAGTCAGAGATTCTTTATTGTCGTTCCACCAAATGTTGAACATGTGGTGGAACGACAATATGTCCACAGGGTCCCAGTTACATCCAACAATAAAATGTAAAAGAAAAACAGTAATAACATCTAAGATATGAACTAAGAAAAACATCAAGTAAATATACACTAAGCAATAATAGCATAAAAACATTACGTTGAACAGCAGCACAAACTTGAGTCTGTGTGAGCACATGAATGAACACAGCAACATGAAACAGATCAGCAGCAACATGAAACAGATCAGCAGCAACACAAAACAGATCAGCAGCAACATGAAACAGATCAGCAGCAACATGAAACAGATCAGTAGCAACACAAAACAGATCAGCAGCAACATGAAACAGATCAGCAGCAACATGAAACAGATCAGCAGCAACACAAAACAGATCAGCAGCAACACGAAACAGATCAGCAGCAACATGAAACAGATCAGCAGCAACATGAAACAGATCAGCAGCAACACAAAACAGATCAGCAGAAACATGAAACAGATCAGCAGCAACATGATGTGATTGTTTTTACAGTGAATATTCTGGTTAGAGAATCATGAGTCTAACAGCCTCAGGGTAGAAGCTGTTCCTCAGTCTAGTGGTTCTACACTTAATGCTCCTCAACCTCCTTCCTGAGGGGAGTGGGGCAAAAAGTGTGTGTGCTGGGTGAGTGTGGTCCTTCATGATGCAGGTGGCCCTCTTCCTGCATCTGGAGGTGTAGATGTCTGTGATGGTGGGGAGACTGACTCCAACATCTTCTGTGCAGCCTTCACCACTCTCTGCAAAGCTTTTCTTTCTGCAGCTGTGCAGCCTCCATGCCACACGTTGATGCTGGAGCACAGGATGCTCTCCACTGCACACCTGTAGAAGGAGGTGAGGACTGAGCTTCCAGACCAGCTCGTCTCAGCCGTCTGAGGAAGTAGAGTCTCTGATGAGCTTTCTTCATCAGGCTGGTGGTGTTGTTGCTCCAGCTGAGGTTGTTGTTCATGTGTACACCCAAGTACTTGTAGCTGGAGACCACTTCCACCACAGATCCTTCATTATTCTGAAGTCTCTCTGTCTTACCACAGACACTTCATCATCTCTTCTGAGGCGCCCGCTCTCAGACGAAGTAAATCCACCTTGTTGTCCAACGAGCGGACGTTCGACAGAAAGAGAGACGGCATCGGGAGTTTACCGGCTTTAGCGTTAGCTCGTAGCCTCACCATAACCCTCGCCTGGCGTCCGCTCTTCTTAAGCGGGGAGCAGCACTTCCTCTTCTGCCCGCTGGAATGCCTCTGCCACAGTTTCCATGTAGATGACTTTAAGATCTGCATTCTGCCGAGCATAGTTTTGAGTTTGTTGCTAATTTCTGCTATATTTTGTGGCAAATCCGCTCCAATTCTCATCACTTCGGTTCGGCTATAGTTCACATGCATAAACCGTGCGGCGTCAGGCACAGAGTCAATATCAAATCTTCTAAAAACTGGGATGGTACCGGGAGCCTGTGAAGCTGCAACTGCTCTGAGCGCAGCCATCATGGCAAAACTCCTCAGACTGAAGAAGTCTTACGGACAAAAGATGAAACATTTTATTTATTTATTTATTTATTTATTTATTTATTTATTTATTTATTTATTTATTTATTTAT